TGAAAATAACATAGATACAGAGTGCTCATCAACTTAGATGAAAATTTAGGCATCAAAAAGGGCTAAAAGCCCTCTACAGAAACAGTGATTAGAAAGACATAGTATGAAACCAAAAAACAAATACAGCAGTCAACAAGTTAAACTTGTTTAAAAAGAAACAGATAATATAAGAAAACCTATTAAAATAACTCCTAAATTATTCCAAATTCAAAAGTGAAAGACAGTGTTAAAAAAAGTATATTTGGGAACCTGTTAATCTTTCTTCAATGAGAGTATAGCTAATGCACTTCAGTTTTATGTAATCTGAAAGCCTTTTCTTCATTTTGTTTTATATCTGTAACTGGGAATGTACTGAAAAAGGCAGATGATCAATGTGAACTGCCTAATTAAGTGAATGCATAATTAATCTAATGAGAATAATCTATTTTTATAACAAAAAAGGAATTGTTAAACAATTTAAAGTTATTAGAAACAATGTATTATTCAAAGGAAACTATTTTAAAAGGAGGTCTCAACAGTGATTAATAAAACAGAGTTAATTTGAGCATCCCGTTGGGTTCTAGACTTTCCTATTGCAATTAATCCATTACAAAAGTAAGGGAGAAGGGACCTCTGTACAGACATTTATCTTGAAACCTCACTGCTTCTTTCCTTTTCTCTTTTTTCCCCACTGCACTTTCGTTACGTTGGAGAGAGGCAATTACATGCACTTTAAGAGGCACAGTGGTAAAACCTATTTTTAGGAAACAAGTAAAATGAAGCATGTTTTAGTTGTGCGGGTTTGGTGGGATTTTTTGTGTGTTTGTTTGTTTGGGTTGTTTTTTTTTTTTACTTTTAGACAACAAATTATAAATTAAATAAGACAGTTCTGGAGGTAAAATCTTTGCACAACAAATATCACTGTACATTAATGGTGTCTTTTTGTTTAAGGGAAAGCTAGTGTAGAAGGCTTTCAACAATTTCAAACTACTCAATTACACTGCATCCTACTAACTGAAGAATTTATTTTTGTTTCTTTTCAAACAGATGAGCTCTTAAGTATTTCACTGTTTGAAATTCCCCTCATCTCTGTGCACTGACAAATTTCATACATACATAATCTTTCTTCAACTTCTGCTGAGATAGGCTCAGTGCAGATACCGAGACTTCCTTTGCGGATGGTCAATACTACATCCAAAACTAAAGAGTGTCTGGGCCATAAGGGCACTGATCTGACCTGACTGAACATTCTTATGTTTGGCACATTTGTTAATGACTTTGAGGTGCTGACTCTTTAGATGCCATTATGTTCTTAAAATATTTAGAAGAAAGTTCCTTTGGACTTGTTTAGTTCATAGGTACCTCTTTGTGGTTTCTCGGATTGACTTGGATTCATCTCGTGTGACCATAGGCATTTAATTGAGACAAGTAGTTCAGAATGAATCTCTTCTATGTCAATGGAGACCAATTCTGTTATCAATCTGTTAATGACAAGCTACCAAGGTCTGGCAGGATTCAAAATTGCATACTTGAGTTAGCTCCTCAAAGTAAAGTGGGATGCATGAGAGCCAATGTCTTAAGTAGATGTGGTAAGATATTTTGAAGTAAACTTTCCCAGAGGAAAAATAAATGAATTAAAAAATAAATAATTTACTAAGTTCAACCTGTTTCAGTTAAAACTGTTCACTTTAAGTCACCTTTAACAAATATGTATTAAAATATCCAATTAAGTCTCAAACTTTTCCAGAGCATTCAAATTTAGTATCCAAAACAATTTCCTCCAATGTTTTAGTTCAAAAACTTGTATGTTGTGCCAAAAATAATACTTTAATTGAAAGATAACTAAAAAATAAAAAAAACTTATATTGGTGCTTCTGCACTCCTTCCTCTGTCATTTTTTCTTCTTCCTGATTCATATGAATCTCTCTTTCATCTGTGAGGTGCTTTGGGGAGCATGCTGTATCATATCACTCATCAACATTCACATATTTGTAATGGTTTTCCACAAAGTTCAGATAACTGGTATATGAGAGGGGGAAAAGAAAGAAGGGTCAAGTGAGCAGCTGTCTGCATTTCAGTCTGAAAGGGGACTGTGATCCTCTCTGGTCACTAGAGTAAAAGCCACTTTCCCTTATGTCCAATGACATGGAATCATGTCAGCAGTCTACAGGGATTTATATCTCTTCACCTTCTCCACTAGTTCTCCCTTCAGACATCTTCAAGCATAATGAGTTTGAAACACTGCTTCAAACCTAAATCCACTGAAATCCAAAGTCAGCAAAGTACCTATACAAAACTGATTATTATGATGTTAAGTTGAGAAATGTGCGGTAGTGGAATAAATACAAAACTGTTCACCTCTCTCCAAATTTTTGTGTGATCATGTTGCCTCCTGCACCAAATCATACCTAAAATTAGCTTTGGTTTAAGGTTTGAATTAAATTATAATACAAATGTAAGCTTCTTAAAAATACAGTATATTGATAGTTTTTCTCATAGCTCCAAAAAAGTCCAAAAGTTTAAAAGTCAAAAATAACATCTGCACAACCTGGGAGCACAAATTATAAGTGTGTGCAATCCTGTGTGCATTTGGAAGAAAATCTTTAGTCCATTTATTTCTGCTAATCCATCAACACACTGCTATGTCCCAACTGACCACGCTTTTCATTTGGCTGTTTTGTGAGGTATGTGTTTTTTTAGGACTGATGCCAACTACTTTATTCTCTGTTCCAACATCTTCATGATGAGAAAGAAAGTAATCTCTAAGATTTACATGCAAAATACGGATGTATTTCCCCGCAATTAGACTCCTGGCATATAGGATGTAGAATGTACCTGTGACAAGGTCCTGGAACAAATTAATGAGATAGAGAGATAAAGCTTAGTGTTCACTGGGGATTTCTACATAATATTTGGAATGCCCCTGGTAACATACAATCCTCATCAATTCAAGCAATAGGTGGAAGGGAAAAGAGAAATAAAGCTAAAAAGAAAAGAAAGGGAAAACGGAAAGAAAGAAAAGGCAAGGATAAGTGATTTCAAATTTTACATGTCCCATGCCCAAAGTGACAAAGACTTGTGAATCAGCTGTACTAAACAGACACATAACCCAAGCAGAAGTAGACCATATCTTTCTCACAGATACTTTGATATAAACATAGAATAACATCACTGAATTGGGTAAGGCGATCAGAAGTTATATAGGGAAAAAAAAGGTTCCACGTGAAGAGCTCTCTGTGTATAATGCTCCATGACAGAGAGTTAACAGCTCTACAGAGAACCTTCTTGTGTCTATTGCCTTTGAGCATCACATTTTACTATGCTGTTATTCCACTGACTAAATTTTGCCCTTCACTCCTGAACTGCTGAGTAAAACCTCACTTATGTTGCAGTAATGACCTCGGTACAAGGACAGAACCCACTTTTTGAATGTGGAAGACATCAAAGGAAAAGTTTGCTAATGCTTTTAGGGAATAATCTCATTAGGAAACCACACACCCTTTTAATATTGTCATATGATAATGAGTCAGTCAATGTATCAGACATGAATGATGATTTCAATAACCGTGGTTTTAGTTTATAGGGCACTTGAAAATGAGACAGAGGGAATATTACAGGAAAGGACAGGCAAACTGATGAAGTAAGGAAAGAGAAAAAGAAAACAAGTCTAGATATGTAATGAAATACACACAATCCTAATGTCTTTTGCTGAGATATATTGTTGAGACCTACCTTGAATTTGTATGCAATTAAAAGTTCCTAATAACTAAGGATAGATTTCTTAATAACAAAGGTTGGAAGGGGTTTGAGTAGGATTCCAAGAAATAATCAGCCATAACTTTTCCTCATTGTCCTGAGGTTTCAAGTATACTTATATCCAATTGAAATAATGGAACTTATGAGCAAAAATACCCCTATCAGATTTACCTGCACAGCCATAAATAGAAGACAAGGCCACTAACTGCAGTGTTTCATAATGCAAAATAATGCAACAGTGGGTTACATTAATTTAAATACAATTACATGTTCTATGTCCAAAGTTTGATTCTGGGAATTTAACATACAGAATTTCATACTGCATGGGACCAAACAGAAATACACCACGTGAGCAATTCAGACAAAGATATCACACAGAGTGAAAGCATGATTATTATGTGAGATTAATTTTCCCTTTTGGTCACTCATTTTTATATATTTTACATTTGCTAGTTAGAATCAGAAGAGGAAATTAAGACAATATACAAAGACATATATAGTGCACATGTGGTTCCCTACCTTCTTCCTAAACTAAGATGAATCTTATTATTTACTTCTATATTTTCCAATTGGGAATACTTAGCTTGCATTTAAGATTTGTCTATTATCAGCTTTAAAATACAGTAAGAATTAGTCCATAAAGATAAATAATTTTATTTCTCTGGGACTAAACACATCTGGAAATATTTTTTGCATCATCTAGCAAAAACAATCCAAAGTTATAAAGATACCTTCAAATTAACTGTGTGCCATAAGCACATGCATGGCTTAGTAGGAAAGATATGGCCAAAACTCATCAAAATCTTTTGTAATGCTTAGACATTTCAAGCCAAGAAGGTGCTGGGCAGGAGCTAGATGTAAGGCCCATAAGACACTTTGATATATAGAACTCAAGCACACTGAAGTAAAACTTCTGGTTGCCCACCCACCAGTAACCAGCGAAGTTAGGCCAAAACTGTTAACAGTAATATTCCAGGCCATGAAACTTTGACATATGGCAATAGTCACCTTTGTTCTTTCCCAGAGAGGCAGCAATACTGAAATTCCTCTCACAGGAGGAAAGCTATGCAAAATATGAAATTCTTCGCCTCTCCCTCTACACTGATTAACAAGCTGAAATGGAGATGAAGTTATACATGGTAGATTAGTTTCTTTCCCTTTAAAGAAGATATTTTGCCAGTAGCATTTTTCAAACCTTTAATCACTTGGAGAGATTAACAGCAAGCCTGGAATACGTGTGGAAACCCTATCTATCTGAAACATACCATAATGCATGTAGCAGTTTCCTTTGGTAGGATCCAGCTGAATAGCCTTCATGAAGTACTTTTCTGCCTCACTCTTGCGTCCCTTAAAAAAAAGGGGGGGAAAATTATTTTAACAGTATGTCACCATGGAGCAATCATGTACAGTTAAAATTTCCAACTTGAGAGGCACTTGAGAAAAACAACTACTATTATCACTAGATTTAACCTAAATAAATATGAATGTTTAAGTGCTACAGGAAGTTTTGTGGTCAGCTACTTATGCTGCAGATCTCTAGATTGAGGAAGAAACGTGTCCAATATCCTCAATATCCAAGAAGTAAGGAAGCAGTAGAAATGTATTGCAAAAAATATTGTAAAGGGCTTTGGGTGAACACCAAGCTCCATGCTACTCTTCTGGACAAGCATTACATTTACCCAAGGTAAAATCAGAGAGGAAGGTAGGACAGAGCTTTAGTTCTGCTTTAAAAAAAAAAAAAAAAACAAAAAAGTGTGTGTGTGTGGAGGGTGAGGAAACAGCATGTTTTGTTCTATTAAATCACAGAATAATAGAAACGATCATGTTGGAAGGGACTCATAAAGACCACCGACTCCAACTCCCTGCTCCTCACCAGACTACCTAAAACTAAACCATCCCTTTGACTAAGAGCATCATACAGATACTCCTTGAGCTCTGACAGGTTGGGTGCTGTAGCTACTTCCCTGAGTAGCCTGGTCCAGTGACCACTCACCTTTTCAGTGAGGAACCTTTCCCAAGGTCCAACCTGATCCTTCCCTGATATAGTTTCATTCCCTTTCCTTGTATCATAACTATATACACAGCCAAAGGTAAAGTTACCACAAACAAAATGGTCAGGAAAAAACAAACAAACAAACAAACCAAAACCCTAACAGAAATTATGGTAAAAAGACCCACATCTTCTAAGACAGGTTTCCTTATCACTGAAATCACCAAACTACTAAAGTTGCATTACTCTACACAAGTGCCAGAGCAGATCCATTAGTTGTCATTATTCTTGAAGAAAACAGCCTAGTCTGACACACACATGAATCACCATCACATGTTCAGTAAGATACCTGTGACCCATTTAACACTATCCCCATGAAATTAGTTGCTGTGGTTTTATAAAATAGAAGGCCTCCAGAATGGTCTGCATCTCTCAAGTTGCCTTGAGTGTTATTTCTCAGATATAAGCCTATAGGCTTTCTCAAGTTTTGTGGTCTGGAAACAGGCATGGCAAACCTCCTTCACTATCCCACAAGTTAACATAGGAGTAATAACGAGGTCTGTTCATGATTACAGCTGCTCCAGATTCTCAGTATTTTCCTCATGGGTCTTAGAGACAATAAAACAGAGAGAAGGAAGTTGTGCAGCACACTAAGAACTATATCAAGACCAGGTTCCATCAAAACTATCATAGAGGCCATATTTCAAGAGATCATCCTGGCATAGATATGAGCAGGCTTAACAGTATTCCAGTTTCACAAAATGAATGTTCATTGGAGGTAAGAATTTAGCCTTATTATTTAGTAAACTTTCTTTGGCAAACCCATATTCCTTAAAGCCAAATCCACATGGCACAAGGTTCCTGCCAACCAAACGGTGCAACTACATGATAAGAGTACATTATCTTATCCTGCAGTGGCTCATCCCTGCTTTAAAAAAAAGCCAGCCAACCAATCAACCAAAAGGAAAAAAAAACCAAAACAACAAACCCACAAACAAAAAGCCTAAAATAAAAAACCATATGACACATAGCGCAGAATTATTTTTCCTCTTCTATTAGTGCAGTAAAGATACATCTATTTTTTTTAAATAGCATACAACTCTAGATGAGAACAAAAACTGAAGAAGAAAATAATCATCAATTGAAAACACAATGCAAATTTGGGTCACTATAAAGTAATTATTCAAATTAAAATACTTGGTGGTGGGAGGTGTTAATCAAAAACTCACTTTTGCATATTTAACTCCAAGGTTGGCACATTTCGGTCTGGCAAAAGTTACAGTGGCATATCTAAGTCTAGCACTGAGGTTTCAAAATGACAGGGACAAAGCATATGTATCATTGGTTCTGACAGAATGAACATCTACATATTTTGCATAATTGCTTTTTTTAACAGGCTAACATCATTAGTTTTAGCTGGTTGCACTTCTGTCTATTTCTAGAACATAAAACAACAGTTCATTGAATACAGTCACAAAATCATAGCTTCTGCCTACCAAACTACAACTAAGGTCACAAACATTTGTCAAACACAATTAATTTTTATCTACTGGAATCAGCAAAAATACATGACTGTTTTACTCTTTTTGGCACTTTCCAAATGTCAGTACCTCAGAATAGATTTAATACACATTATTTTTTGTGTCAAATGATGTAAAATCCAATCAGTTCGCAGAATCAGGCTATTTCACCATTAAAATTTAGCATTTGTCAACTTTTTTCCAACTATTCAATGTACACCTTAACTATCACAACAGAACGTACACACCATGTAGTTAGCTTGACATCAATCCCTGTCATTGTCCCTTTCTCACTGTATGTTTTCAGTGTTAAATAAAACACATGGCACAAAGGAATAAAATTCTAACCTTTAATGAAAATCCAAACAATTTTTAAACAGCTGAGAAATACCAATCTATGGCAGGGAGGCATTTGGTGTGCATGTTCACTGTTATGGATATTGACCCATACAAATGCAAGCATTGAGAGCCACTGGAAACCTCCCTGTTTCTAGCAGTAGGGTGCACAGTCATATACTGCACAATGACATGCTTTGGCAATTTTACAAAGCAAAAAAAAAAGTAAGTTTACAACTGCATGATAGCAGACTTTTTTGAAAGATAAAGAAGTTATTCTTAAATTTTGATGAAAAGACTTGATGGCTCTGAGGATCAATAATGGGATAAAAAATACCTTTAATCTGTTGATCACCAGTTTACATCCTGTCCAGGTCAGTAGCTAATGAAAAGGTGCTATCTAACAGCTACTGGCTTGCTCAGGAGAAATGAGTGGGTGGTCCTAGTCCAAGCCCTAATGGAGATCCTCTGCACAGACGTACTGGCATATTTATGGCTTTTCAGTGCAGAGACTTACGACACAGAATCATAAAACAATGAACGTGAATCTCACTGCTAAGGAAAAAAAACTTAAACATGCTTGATTTGGAAGACTGGGCTGGTATTTCCCTTACCACATCTGGACCTAAAGCACATAATGAGGACAAACTTTCAGCAGTTTTCCGTTAATAAAGAAAACTTCAATCCCCCTCTCCCATGCCCCAAAAAGGACAAATTGCCCATGATTACCATCTTCAAGCAACACCAACGAATTTAAAAGGAAAAAAAAGTTTAAGAAGAGCAGCTAAGTGACACAAGGCTCTTACAACCTAGCACACAACTTGTGTTAGCTTTCAGAAATACCTCACTCATGCAGACTTCAAATCAGAATGGCTGGTTGCTTGCAGTTTTGGAAGTCAATTAATTGTTTAAATATTAACTCAGAAGCTTGATTTTTTTAAAGACCAGTTCTTTGTAGTTGATTGCAATTGCTAATATGGTCAGACATTGCTTAAATAGGATTTTTCTACAAATGACTGTTATGATCACCACGATAAATGAAAGAGAGCTAGCTAAGGGCAGCTGATACATTAGTGAAGACTTTATTCTTAAAATACTAAAAAACTGAGGACAAAACTACCATTTCAATATTCACCCCAATTTTTTTTCCTCACTATGCTGGGAAACTCTGCCAAATTCATGTTGAGGCAGCTGTTGTACTTCAGGTTGCTGGAGGCCCAGGGACCCTGAAATGGCAGTAAAAGTAAAAAATACACCTGAGTAGCTCTGAATAACCCTCTTGTGGAAACTATGATGACACAGTGACAACCAGTAAGTAAGGTGGTTCAACAAATTAGGTGGTCTCTGCAATTTGAACCAACTTTATAAGTCATAAATATTAATCATTCTTCAAAGTTTACAAGGGTTTCACCAATAGGACAGAGACTTCATTCTTCAACATAGAGGTTTTTTCTGAGCTTTAACTGGTAATTATGTGATTGCATTTGCATCACAAATGGAGTTGACTGTCATTCTCCATGTCTGCTCAATGTATTTTTTTTTTGGCAAGTATTCACATTTTTAATTGAATTGTGAAAAGATTTCTTAATGGAAGGTTGATTAAGCTGTGGACACTAAATATAGGAAAAAAACTATTTTACATATTTTCTTCTTCCTCTCTAGGACATTTTAGAGTCACAGACAGACTATGTAAGGATAGTAAAAAGGTCTGAACTGAACCTGTGATTTCCTTTCTATGTTTCCTTAAGTTACTGCAGACCAGCATAACTGTTTCATAATCAGTTCCTTTCAACTTACAAAAGTTGTGATAGGACAGGGAAAACAAAATTCAATTGATGCAATACTGAGGAAATTAGAAATATATTCAAAAGCTTTTACTTAGCTGGACTAAGAAAACAGGAACTAGAAAGCTGTATCTTCCAATGATGTCAGTGACATAAGCAAGCTCCCCACCCCTTCTCTAAATATTAATAGTTAAGAAACAACTTTAATATCTAGTATTAGGAACTGAAGGAATTTCTTTTTTCCCTTCATTTTGCTGTTATTTCTACAACTCTTCCATTTTCACTCTAAATTACGGTTTAAATAACGTACATCATAATTTGTATGTGAAATGTTAGTGCAACTGAAAAATACAGGACTTGTATTATCAACATCAAAGGTCCAAAATTTATTTCAGGTTCTATACTTTCTGGGCACTAAGGAGATAAATCTTGCCTCTTCATCTCATCCTTATTATAATAAAATAAAAGCAACTGAACATGGCAGAGAAGCAATTACTTCTAAAGGTTAGTATCTGTCCCAGAGAAAGACACATATGAGTCAAGGTTTGTAAGGAGAAGTGAATGAGAAGCAATATATATTTCACTAGAAAAACAAATAGTTGTGGGGGGAGGAGTTTAAAGTCATGCAGAGCTATTCTTTGTCCAACTAATATCAGCAGGCTTGTAAAAGACGCTATCTCCTTAAAGTTTTACTCTCTCATACCCTTAGATGATCAC